TGGGCCTTTGCTCCTTTGCCACCAACCCACCCACCCTTCTCCTACCCGAATTGTGCCAAATCCCTTCTGGGACCTCAGCGATGAGTCCTAACGGGGCAGACCTAAAAAGAAGTAATACAATTTTAATGTGGATCAGAGACACCAGTCGTGGGCCCCTGCCCTCAAAGGGCTGGCCAGTCTCCCGTGGTCAGCACCCCAGAAACAGTTATACTGCGGGATGACAGAAAGGCCTCAGGAGATGCGATCAGGCACGGCTCTGCACCAGGCGTTGTGAGCAGACACCGGCACAGGTGTGGCGCTTGGCCTGCTGGGGTCACTTTGCCAGGCGTCTCCTCATCTTTCGGCTTCTAGTTCTCAGGGCCGAAAAGGCAGGGCTATAGGCAGGACCCTCACTCACCCACTCTCTTTTGGGAAGAGGGCGGGCGCGTGAGTTTCCCAAGAGGAGGAAGGGCATGGTGAGTGCAGCAGACCTGAACACTTGTCACAGGGCTGCACGCCATGAGGCCAGCCCAGCGGAGGCTGTGCCAGCCTCACTGCAGCAGGTGGGAGGAGGCAGGGCTGGCATCAGCTCAAGAGAAAAGCGGCCTTCACCTGGCCAGTGAGCTAGACAAGCTGGCGAAGCAGAGCTCCCCTTCCTCACGTCTGGATGCCTCTTTCTGTTGTCTGATCTCATCTCGCTTGATCCTCCCAGCTGTCCTGTGTGATTTAGCAGATGACTAATACTATCCCCAATTTCTGGATGAAGAAATTGAGGGGCAGAAGGGCTATAGCTCTGACGTCACGCGCAGTTAGCGGGAGAGTTGGGACTAGACCCCAAGGCCCTGGCACTCCCAAATGTATTCACGCTCCTATCTGCACCACCAAGCTCCATGTATAGCCATGCTTCGTTAGGCTTTGGAAGCTGTCAGTGTCGACACCCCCCGCCCACCTCCAAAAGCAGATGGGCTATAATAGGCCTCATACCCTAATAACATCAATAATTAATTAATTTTTATTTTGGGGGCCATAGGGGATGTATGCTCTCCAGAAAGAGAGACAGAGAGAGACAGTGAGAGAGAAAGGGAGAAACCACCCCACCCCACCCAGGGGGAAATGGCCACATTGCAAACCCTTCTCCTCCATTCTCCTCCTGGGATTTTGTGCACACACGCACACACTTGTTCATCATGATTTTCAAGCCACTGGGTCCGGGACTCGAACCACATTTGCCCATGTAGGAGTTGAGTGCCTTAATGACTATGCCACCTGCTGGCCCCCAGAAATTAATTATTGAAGGCTATCTTCCACCTAAAGCATTTAGCACAGTGCCTGGGAAATAGAGCTCACTATATCTAGCTATTATTGTGATACTAACCTTTGTTTACTAATTCCCCCCAAAACGGATCAATGCTTCCTGGTTTCCAAGGCACTTTCAGCTACATTAGCTTATCCAGTGTCCATGTCAGCACTTCGAGGTGAGGTCGGCAGGGGCTGATACCCCGTTTGCAGATTCCCCCCAGGGGAGGTGCCAGGTTCAAGGTCATGGCTGCAGAGCACAGCTCACCTGGCCTCTCGTGCTGGGCTCTGTCTCCCGCAGGTTATAGAGGCCCAGGCTGAGCTGGGCCCTTTAAGAGCCCTGAGGCTGAGGCATGAGGAGGGAGTGGCCCCTAAACCCATGGCGGGGGAGGGGGCCCAATCTCCGCTGGGCCCCAAACCCCGGGGGGGGGCGGGAGCCACATTCTCTGGAGGGAGTGAGTAGCCGCCTGGCATTTTCTCTTTGATACTGATACAGGCGTTTTAATAGCTACGATGATCAGGCGGGTGATGTTTCAGCCCTGGCCACACAGGGCATTCCAGGAGGCCCTGGCTGCCTGGAGGGACAGAGCAGGCAGGCTTCTCTGCTCAGGGTGGCTACGGGGCCACCCAGGGCCTCAGGAAGTTTCACACCCACACCTTGGCCCGGGAATTTCTCACCAGGAGTCAGTCTCAAAATCAGATGTCTAGCGGTGCCAGGCCGCTGGCCTAAGTAGGTTGAAGCTGGCCGTGGGGAGAGAGTACCATGGTGACAGAAGGCACGCCATGCAGCCACCACGCAGCCACCACGCAGCACCACCTGATTGCACGACAGCCGGTGTTATCCTCCCTTCGTACAAGAAAACGGGAAAGTAGGACTTCAGGTGACATCTCTGACTGGCGAACAATCAGTATTTACTGAGCACCTGCCATGGGCCAGGGCCTGTTCTAGGCACTAGGGATATGGCAGGGAATCAAACAGGAGAAGTACCCACGTGCTTGTGGAACCTACATGCAGTGGTGGAAGAACTCAATAGGCGAGAAAAATAAGCCTCCCCTACCCTAAAAAAATTCTAATAAGGAACTAAAATGGGGACAGGATATAGGGAATATATTGGAAAGAAGGGATGCAGGAGGCAAGGGAGGCCTCACTAAGAGTGTGCCGGGTGGATAGATGGGGAACAGACGTTCTAAGCAGGGAGCCCAGTAGGTGCAAAGGCTGGGGAAGAGGAAAGCTTGGCATGTGCAGGAACATCTGAAGACCTGTGGGGTCACCCTGGCTGAGTGCAGTCTTGTAGAGCAAGGGCAGAAGCTGGGGATTCGTTGGTTATTGCAGTAACTGGCCAGAGATAACGAGGCCAGGACCAGGGCGTAGCGGTGCCGTAGTGGTGCCGTAGTGAGAAGGGGCCATGCCCTGGGTGGGTCTGAGAGGTAGAAAACACGGGCTGGTGACTGAACAGGTGTGGAGTGAGAGAGACAGAGGCATCAGTGGTGATTCTGAGGCTTTGCACAACCAGCGTCATTACCTATGACTATCAGCTGGTGGCAGGGGCAGACCTGAGGAGTGGGAACAGCTATCAGGAACTCAGTGCTACAGATTTTGAGATGCTGTGAATGGGCGTACCAGGCAGGTAGCTGGAGTTTCAGAGGAAGGTCCAAGTAGGTGTTGAAAAGCCGGGCTGTCGTCACATATAGATGGTTTTGTAGCCCTAGAGAAAAGAGGCGTGACCCTGGACTGCAGGCCCTGTGGTGCTCCAATGTGTAAAGCCAAGTGGGGAAGGAGGAACTTGAGGAAGGAGACCGAAAGGGAACTGCCAGGTGGGAGGGAAAGCAGGGAGTGTGGTGTTCTGGAAGCCAGAGTGCAAAGGTGTTCCAAGGAGAAGGAGGAGGAAGAGGAGAGGAGAGAGAAAACATTGCTGACAGGCTTTGCTGGGGACCGTCCATAGAACTTAGCAACACAAGGCCACTGACGACCTCAAGGAGAGTCCTAGGGTGGGGTGAAAGGGCTTAGGATGGCTGGGTGAGAGGACAAAGGGCAGCAGCAAAGGTAGACCTTCCCTTTCCACCACCAAGCCAGAGGGGGCCTTGACCCCATGACTCACTCCCCCCATGTGATTGTCATTTTTTTATTTGTTTAAAGTTTATTTATATCTTCCATCAGAGATGGGAGAGAGAGAGAAAGAGCTAGGTACCCCCACAGAATCCTCATGCTGCAACCCACCCTCAGTCCTAGCCAGCCTGGGTTACAGGCACATACACGCATGCCCAGCATGTCCAGGGAGGTCTCGGGACACAAACCTGGGACACTTCCCATGTGGTCCAGCTGCATTACTGCCGTACCACCACCTGACCCTTCATGTGACTTTATTTACCTCTGTGGCTCATCCTGAGTGTGGCAAAATCACACAGCAGTGAGGAAGTAGGGGCTAGAGACCTGCTTGTAAGGGCCAATGGGTCCTCAGTGTCAGGATGGGAACTACAGTGCACTGGATGGAGTCACACTGCTGGCCAGAGTGCAGGCCCCATGCAACCGGATCATCTGGTTCTTCAAGAGAAATTACAAGTACAAATTTGCTTCAAAATATTGGCCACAAACTCAAGAGTAATAAGCACAGCGCGGGAGCCAAACAACATGCATCTAAGGGCCAATTTTGCCCTGAGGCGCTCAGTTTCTAAGTGCTGCACTAGCGCCGGAGAATGTGGGTTTGAATCTGGCATTGCTTACTTCACCAGTGCTCTCAGCCAGGTCGCAGTCTCCCCTCTGTGCTTCAGGCTCCTCACCTCAAAGGAGCACAGTCATCACTAACGTTTACCAAGAGCCTAGGTGTCAGGCTCTGTTCTCTCCGTGCGTCAAGCTTTCCAACCCTCTCAGTAACCCAATGGCTGTTATCATCCCAGTGGCCAAGAACCGTGTGTAAACCCAGGCAGCCTCACTCCAGAGACACTCCTGCTACCTTCTGTGCTACTCTGGCTCATTCCATTAAGGACCAAGGAGGAGACCTGTGAGACATTTAGCACACTGCTCTTGCAGAGTGAGCACACAGATGCTGGCACCTGCGGGCATCCTGCCATGCGTGACCATGCTGCATGGACCCCTCCATTTGCCATCGTGAATATGGCAGATCCCTGACTGGAGGGGGTGTCTAGCCTCTGGAATCTGTTCCTCTTCTGAGCTCCTAGGTTGGCTCGGTGATTTGCAAGCTGGTAGGAAGAGGTTTGGTGGAAGACTGAAGAAGGCCTTCCCAGCACCCTTCTCCCAGCCCGCTCAGATGCCTGTGCTGGCTTAGCGAGGGACACCAGAACAGAAGTCACTCACTGTCCCTGCCCCAAGACCCAGCGGGAGCCCAGTCTGAGACTGGAAACAATTTGCAGAGTTGAGAAGAATATGTCATTGTGTGCATGAGTGTGAGGTACAGGAAAGTCGCAGGCAACTGGCTTCTAGGGCCCTGTCGTTGGGGTGACTTCTGTAAGAGTTCTCCAAAGATGACAGATACTGAGATGACCAAGATGGGCCCTCTTGTCTGCTTCTTATTACCCACACACCCAGTGGCGGTGGCGAGGGAAAAGCCATTAATTGTCTTTGATCCAGGAACAGAGCTCCCGCCAGCTCCCCTCTTGCGGCCCCTTCCCCTCTCCCAGCCCTCCCACCGGCCCACAGACACTTCCCAGGGCTCAGTGTTTATGAGCTCCGAGCTCCGGTGACTCCTCTTGTCTGTCTCTTTGTGTAGAAATGGAAGCTCCACTCACGGAGGCGCCGGGAGGCCCCGAAGATGTCTCCAGATTGTAACTGCCCCCCAGGTAAGGAGCCCTGCGAACGGGTAAGGTTGAGTGTCCCTAGGATGGGGACACACACCAGAAGTTCTTCCCAGTGGCCCTTCTCTACTCACACCCCACTTGGGCCATGACTTCTCATCCAAAAGCTGGGAATGACCATATCCCTGATGGTTGCTTTCCATCTACGCACTGATCGGCTCCCCGTCCCCCATCATCCGTCCATCCATCGTTCATTCATTTACGCATCTCTCATCCATCCGTTCATAAACTCTTCTAGGGACCTGCATTCTTCCAATCGCTTGTCACACAATCAGATAAGCTGGTGGGTGTGTCTGTTTGGAACATGATGAAGTGCTGTGTGGACTGGAAGGGACGGCCCGCCTCACTGGGGCTGGGATCTTGCTCACCATGTTCTCTGTCACGCCTCCAGCTCCTGGCACTTGGCGGGCATACGAATATGTTTACTACCTGAATACATGAATGGTTCCATAATTCCAAGACCTTGTTTGCCCTAGTGAGGTGGCTCAGGGTGGCGCATAACATGCTCACGTATGAGGGATCGAGGCCAAGCTAGAGGTGTGTGATGCACTTAACCAGGCTAATCTGGATCCCAAGCGCGCATTTGCCGTTCACCAGCTCTGTGAGGGCCGGTCACACACCTGCCTGTCCTGGTGCTCTTTCCTCTGTGTCCCAGCCTGCCCTTCGACTGGTCTAGTCATCTATTTAGTGGCTTTCCATGGGTACCTGCTCTGGGCTGGGCCCAGGCTGGCTCTGGGGCTCAAGTGCATCATGGCAGGTTAATCACAATGGTAAGCTGTAGCTCATTAGAAACGGCAGATGAGTTCATCATTACTCAAGTTTCACTGTTGCCTAGAATGGGCTGTACCCCTTTGGAGGTGGGGGAAAGAAGCCCTAAACAAGAATTGGGAGAGACAAGGTAACGTACGACAGACAGCTATGACCAGCTGTGGGTCTCTGGCAGCTCAGAGCGTGGCCTCCTCGATACCTGCTGGCCACAGGTGCTATCAGCAGGGCCCTCCTCCAGCCAAGCAGCCGAGAAGCCCCAGTAACCCTCGCTCAAGGTCCCACACCGGGGAAGAGGGGCCGACAGATGTCAGGCGATGGGAAATGGGGGAACCACATATTCCAGAGACGAGTGGGCTGGGGTGGGAGTCCCATTCAGGATGCTGTCTCGGGAAATGGTGAGATTATGAAGGGTTTCAGCTGGCCCTGGGCAGAAGAGGGTCGTCTGGGTTAATTAAAAGGGTGTCCAAAGCCCTGGGAAGCTCCCTCCCTCTCTCTAAGCCCAGGAGATTGGGCCCCCGTGTTCTGGGAAAGCTTTTAGGAGAGGAATGCTGAGATAATGAGATGAGGTGGAGGCAAGGGTGGGGTGACGAGGCCAAGGCAGAGCAACCAGACACATCAGCGTTTCCAGGGCAGCCCAGTTTCAAAATACGCAGTTCTGTTATAACTCCAGGGCGAGTGCAACCAATTTTTGCTTGAACTACAGAACGCTGGTTACGAACAGCTCAGGAGCCATGGAGGCTATATGATTGCATTCCATCTCTAGTCTAACCTTCAGGGAGTTGTTTAACCTCTCCGTGTCTTGTCTGAAAAACAAGGATAGTAGCCACCTTGCAAATACATGGGGGAGATTCATGTGATATAATTCTGGAAAGTACTTAACACCTTACCTGACTCCTAGTAAGCGCTAGTATTATTTTGCTCAACTGCCTCTTGAACTGAAAAAGCGCACTGCAATCCTTCTAGAGCCCTGGGTCCTGGTGTGCCAGGCAGAAAGCTTGCCCTTCTCCCTTCCCTGCCAGATGGGAGAGTGCACAGCAGCCATCTGATGGCCTTCAGATGTCCTGCCCACCATCAAGTGGGGGCCTGATCAATAGGTCTCAATTTGGGGCTTCAGGGAGTCCAGGGGAGGCAGAGGGGAGGGAGGATTTGGAAGAGTACGTCATCTTCTCCTTCTTGCTGGGAGTCCCTATGCGCCCCAGGTCTAGGGCAGTGAAGAAAATCCATGAAGCAGCCTGAGCAGTGCAGAGGGTGGCAGGGAGGAGGGACACGGATATATGACTGCATATATATATATAATGTATACATATGTAATCTGTCAGTGAAGTACCTCTCCCCTTTTTGGGCCTGCATCGCACATCTCCAATATTTGCTTAGAGTCAGAGTTCACAAACCACTTAGTAACTGCTTTCCGCTCCTGACACTTGTGGAAGGACTCGTAGATTATAAAGGCCGTGCACAAATTCAAGTGTCATCACTGCCATCTCGCCAGGCCTGATATTGTGTCCCACACGTGGCAGGTGCCCGACGTCCATTCAGTAGTTGGTTAATACTCATTCCAGGTGACTGGATTGTTTTTCGCGTTCTCCATCTGCCATCTTACCCCCACCCCGCACTGAGTCTCGCCTGATGCCAAAATCACCGTTGTTGAGATGCAACAGCCCATCGTGGTTGCTGGGATGTTCTCCATCTGCCATCTTACCCCCACCCCGCCCTGAGTCTCGCCTGATGCCGAAATCACCGTTGTTGGGATGCAGCAGCCCATCGTGGTTGCTGGGACTGTCGTCTTCCATGGCCACTGGGATTGGAATCTAGAGCCCCAGGCCAGGCCCTGCCTCCAGTTTCCTTCTATGGCCAGTTAGGTCGAGACCGGAGTCCTGTAGTGGGTGGGTGTGTTTTTCCTTGAGGCCGCCTAGAGCCCAGGGTGACATCCAGAGGGCTTGGGATACATAATGGTGGGCAGAAAACCTGCCTCCGTCCCTTCCTACACCGACCTCACCAGCATCCTCCTGGGATCCTCCCTGTCCCAAAATAGCCGTGGACTGGCTGAGATCTGGCTGCTTCCTGCTTCTGGGCTGCATGCACTGTTTGCCAGGAGAGTGATGGGTTCACAGGCCCGGGATGGGATGCCAAAGGTCAAGCCTCAATTAGGAGGGTCATGGTGGCCAGAAGTTCAGAGGAATAGGTGTGGGCTGTTTGCAAAGCTGTGGCCTGAGGAACCGGAGCAGGGTCTTGGGAACAGATATACATACCGTGGGACTTCCTGGGCCTCTTGAGAAGAATACAACGATCAGGACCTCCCATTCTCTGTCTCTGTTCTCATTAACAAATGAGGAGCAGGACAATATAGACTCCGGCTGGCAAGGAAGCGACTACTTCAGACCCGCCACGCTGGGGCTAGGTGGGGCTGGCCAGCGTCAAGTCCAGGGTGGGGCTGGCCGTGTGAGAGATGGTGCATGCTGCAGACGAGGGAGCCAGGACCAGTTGAGCTGCTGGAGCGAATCACTCAGACCCTGGGTCTCATCTCTAAGGGGAGGCTAGACCAAGCTCATGCACTCACCACAAGGCTAGGGGGCACGTGGCCAGGTTTGTGCATTAGCACCTTAACCAGCACCTGTACAGCGGATGGCGGAAGGGACCAGAGCTGCCCTCGGCCAGGCCAGTAGAAGAGGCCATGCGTCCTCTGTCCCAGTGTGCTGGTGAGGGGTGTGAGTGAAGTGTCTGAGTCAGCTTCAGTGAGTAGTGCCCCTGGAGGTTGGTCATTAGGAACAAAGAAGCAGGTGGGAGGGCAGAGAGCCGGGCCATAGACTCACTGACTTCATAACAAAAGATAGCCATGCAGGGGGACTTGAACAAGGTGGAAGTATAACTCATGCTTACGAACAGGGCAAAAGAGAGCAGGCCAGGCTGCCATCTTCATATTGTGGCTCCTGGGGCCCTGGCAGCCACTTCAGTTCTTGCCATACCCTGGCCAGCATGAAAGTGGAAACCAGCAGGGAGTGTATGCCCAAACCCCCAAGAGCAGACCTTGAATAAAAAGAATCACATCACTTCTGCTCACCTCCTATTGGCCAGAACTTGGTCATGTGGTTGTCCTCAGGTCCAGGGAAGCCTGGATGTTTGTATGCCCAGATAGAACTTAATTGCTAGGGGAGGTGCGAGAACAGATACTGAAGATCAAGTAAGTAACTGTCTGCACAGACGGCATTCCAGGCTGGCTCAGGGATGGGCGTGAACAAAAACTCTGAGGAGTGAAAAAAAGACAAGAACGTTTGGGGATGGCAAACAGCTGAAGGAATCTGGAGCACAAAGAAGTGATGGGAAATGAGGGAGGAAGAGATGTCAAGATTGCAAAAGGCCAGTTCCACACTCCAATTTCTCTGTTCAATGGGAGGCAAATGTATTATCTTGAGAGTGACCGATTGGTAATGGCTGCCTGGAAGGCTGTGCTGAGTCAGATTCCGACTCAGTACCTAGGTAATCAGCTTAGTGATGTCTGCTGTGGATAGGGGAGTGGTGAGCAACAGCTTGTGCCCTGGCTGTGTTATCCCTATAGGAAAGGATGTGACCTGATCCCATATATGCTTCTGAACAATCACTAGCAGTGATGTGGAGGCTGGCTTGGAGAGGAGAGCAGCTCCTTCCAGAAACAAAAGTTTCTGGAAACTCCTATAAACAAGGCTTTATTTTTTTCATGATCTGCTATTTTTGTTCAGGTTGGAGTGGCCTCTCCAGCTTTGGTTATTTTCCATGGGTGGTGAGAACTGATGCCCACACATCCTAAACCCTTTGCTTTGGCTAGTCTCGCCCTATTTTCCCTGGCACCAGATTTTACCCCCAGCAGCCTCATGACATTTCCATGGGTAGGGCCTGTGGCCAGAGCTGAAGTCCCCAAATGGGCTCCTCCTACCTCTCTTGCTGCAGCAGAGCAGACCCATCGCATCTCCCCACCCACGCCCCATGATGCTCTTCATTGTAGATTCAGCACAGAAAAGCAAGACTTCAGTCCAAAGCATCCCTTGGTACCACTAGAAAAGAATAGGATTGAAGAGCTGATGGCTATTTAAGGAAGAACTTTTAGACTAAAGAAATACTGCCTTTAGATAGCTCAGAAACCCTGCTTTACAACCACCTTTGTCCCCATCAGTCACCAAGGCCCGCGGATCTTCATCTTCACCATCATCACCTTGTTTAAGCTGTCATCATCTCCCCCTTATTCA